TTAATAGTTAATAGTATATATTAGGCTTATTAAGGTAAAGAAGTCTTATTAATAGCTAGTAAGCTAAGTCCTATTTAGTACTAAAGTAAATATATATATATATAATAGGGGCTTATAGTTAGGTAAGCTAGGCTTATAGTAAGTCTATAAGTTAGATTATAAGTCTATTATAAGCTTATAAAATAAACTAGGGTATAGTATAAGTTATTATAAAATTAGTAAAAAATATTTAAAGTATATATAATATAAGCGTTTTTACCTATTAGGTTATAATACCGTGCTAATATAAAAGTCTTTAATCTTAAGCTTCTAATTCTTTATAGGAACTTAAAGTATTTATTTACTTTCTTATAATAGATAGTCTTAAAATATAAGGTCTACAGAGTCTATCTAAAGTATCTGTTTATTATTCGTTAAGAGCGAGTATAAAAGCTCTATATAATCTGCTATACTGTAATATCCCGAATATCCGCTAAAATAATCCTTTAACACCGAGGTTAATGCCTATCTTGTTAAGTGAAACCTCGAGCTTCCCGTTACTCTTGTTGCGATGAGTCGATGTAGCGATTTGGTGTGTATTGCTTGGGGAATCTGGCCAAAACGTGAAGCTTGAAGCGCCAATAGGCTTCCATACGTGATCCTTTAGATAAGCCTCCAAGGGCAAACCACTGATTTGCTCAACAAGTCTTCCTGCCCAATCTACTCCACTACCGTACTCCCAACCTTGGCCAGGTTCGAATAGAAGGGGGTGATCGAACCAACCAATAACAGTAGACTTGTCTCTAACTTTGGATCCCTGAAATTTGCGAAACCTCTTCAAATCGGTGTTGTGAAGATCGTAGCCGCAGCCAGAAGAGTGAGTCAACAGTTGTCGGAGGGTAATTGGGTTGCGGCGTTTCTTTAAAATGGGTGATCCATCTGCACTCCAGCCCACGAGAACCTGTTGCCGACCTAGATCAGGAAGCAAGTCGCTAACGTCAGCGTCGAGAGTAATCAATTGTTTCTCAACCAGTTGTAATGCGGCAATAGTGGTGGGCAGCTTAGTGAGGGAGGCGAGTGTGAAGAGAGTTTGAGGACCGATGGAGACTTGATCAGGCCAGGAAGGCGATGGACCACCAAGGTAATGGGAGACAATGACAGATCCTGTCAAACGTTAGCGTAGTTGAGGTGATGGACTTAATTAGATACCATCACTGCGCTTGGCTAGTACGGCCAGTGAAGATACAATGTCTTTATCGAGGGAAGACTGCAATAATCTTCGAAAAGCATCCATCGGGCAAGGTCGTCGAGAAGAAGAAAAGGGATTTCGTAGCCAGTAAAGTGATGAAAATATAGGAATTCGAGGCACTTGGCCTGGATAAATAATTAAGAAGCTAAAGGATAGCTATGCTAGATTCAAAGAGTGACAGGATAAAGTATGATGGTAGAAGGAAACAAGGCGGGGAAGAAGGACTGTTCAAATATATACCCTTATCCAGTCACCGCCCTGAGGGCAACACGCTCACATGATTTTGACCAGATTTGCTAGTGGCCAAATCCCAAGACCCTTGGCTAAGCTGTGCCTGTCAATTGCCCTAGTATCACGCTTTGTTACATTCAACAGAAATCGTCATTGCCTGCACACTACGGCTTCGGATTATTGTTTAAATACTGTACTATTCATTTGCCTCAGTGTTGAACTGACATAGTGTTTACGTGTGTTGAAAGCTGAAAATAAACTTATATCCCATCCGCATAACAGTCTGGTTGGCTATAGATTCCAAAGTGTAGATAATTGCGGAATCAGGCTCCCAGCCCCCTAACACATCAGTTCAATTGACTATTCTCCAGGGAGCGAGCCAAAGAAACAATATTGTCCGTACGGAATTCTCCTTGCCCAGAATAACCCCCGTTGCCCTTTAGTTGCTGGATCCTTTCAGAATCGCTATCGACGGATACGCCGACCTTGGCTGAATCTCGACGCTCAACAAACTCCAGCACGGTACCAGTTTCGCTTTCAGCCAAGAAGAATTGCCGAAATCCAGTAGCCAAATCTATGCTTGGTGTATTGGCAGTAGTAGTCCACCCTCGCTCCCTTATAGCAGTAAAGATAGGGTCGACATCTTTTACTTCCATAGCAATATGATGAACAAATGATCTCGACTTACGCCTTAGCAGTCTTGAAAAGATAGAAGCAGGGGTAAGGCCCTCAGTAAGGATGAGAACTCGCTGTTCGTCTTGTGGAAGTCCCATGACGTGCATAAGCCCGTCATCTTGTCCTTCAGGAGCAGAGCCAGCATTGACAGTGAACGTACGGAGGTGCGTAAATCCCAGCATTTCCTCGTGAAACACCTTTTTGGGAGCAGTGTCGGACATAATTGAGGCGTAATGGTCTATCTGGATCGTTGAGCCGATTACACAGCCCAATGCATAGGAAGGACAGGTGAAGACATTCTTTGAAGGTTCCTGAGGTGGTGCTTGACAAAGACTCATGGGATATCCAGCTTGTTCACGTTCAAGAATAAGTTCAGTCATTTCATTATTGTGAATTCGCTCTCGGAAATCGATTGACTGGGCTTCGAGAACCTCTCTGGCCTTTTGTAAGTTATACACAGAGAACTGTACCGAAATGCCAATATCTGCTGGAGAGGCGTCGTCTGAAACTTGGACAATGCTGATTGTTGGATCATCTGACCCCGGGAGTTGGAAGAGAGTGCGATCGGCGTTCGACTTGGCATTGTATAGTGTCGTGATGGCCCTGGTAGCCCGTTCAAGATCCGAAGTCCTCATCGTGAGACGGGCCATTCTCTTGACACCAAGGAGATTCACAGGACCGTCCTTTCTGCGGGCAGCAGCGAGATATCTACACGCCTGCCAGACAGCAAGGTTTCCCTGGTGATAACCGGCCTTGGAAAGAGCTACACGAACAAAGGCTTTGGTGTCAGCAGCAGATGCTTCCAGATTGGACACAGCATACTCCTTCAAGGCGAGGCCACTGCAGGCTCGCATGAAGAGATTTGCAGTTCCTGAGTTGGTAACCCAATCTGGGAGCATGCAAATCGATGCTGCGTCGAGCCGCCTTGCGACGTCTTCGATACATTCTCCATGATCGAAAACGTTGTTGGCACCGGCGATGATGAATCGAGTTCCAAGAGGAGCTTGGACGAAAGTTTCATCAGTCAAGGTAGAGATAACTCTCGATGTCAACACATAGCGCTGAGCGCAAGGAACGAAAATCTCACCCCTCACACAGGCGAGAAAGTTGATGAGGTGCTTCTCATCGGTTGACCCAACTTCTCGAGTTACGTGCAGTCCTACTTGACCGAGTCCTGCTTCGAAGCTTCTGGCGTCATAGCCCTGAAGCCTGCCGTTGTTAACAGCCATGCGACGGGCCGTGTCAATGGCACCACAATCGATGCCATCGTCGTTGATCAGGAAGCCGTACTGGCTCGAGATCCCAACAACTCTGCCAATACCTAGTTCCTCGGCAGCGAGAGCAAATGTGGTGCCAACACATCCAAAACCCTGGATCACCAACCTGACCTTGCCAATGAGATCAGGTCTCTGATGGGTCAGAAGCTCCTTGAGAGTGATTGCCATGACGTAGCCAACACAATATTCTTCCAGAGTCCATCCTGTTGCGTTCGAGCTCTCTTGCAGAAGAGATGCGACATCGTCGGGGCGTGAACCGCAACTGAGAGAGTTGCGGAGTGCATCTAAGGCGGTTGTAGTACCTGGAGGACAATAGGCTCTGGCATGTTCATCAATGATGGCATGGTCGGTATTGATGTCCGCTCCTGTTCCCCAGTATCGAGAGATGATACTGGCATTGTCGCGGATAAAGCGCTCCAAGACATGAGGAGCTGAAGGGTGCTGTGGGGAGAACCGAATGCCGCCTTTTGCACCAACGACCTGCGGTTGACAGCTCACAGCCAGCTTAAGGCTCATGGACTGAGCTACGTCGCGGACTTCATCGAGCGTTGTACGCTCATGTTGAAACGAGCCGCCGCCAGAGAGAGTATAGTTGGTCTGCGCAGTGCCAGACGCAGCGTCCGTCTATAACAAAGTCTTGCGATAACTTAGGAACTATACTTCTGCTGCTGAGACAATAAAGAACAAGATTCACAGTTGCATGAAGACATTTATGATATGAACATTTAGTATTATGACTGCGCCATTGACCCGTCTACCGTAGAGGTGCACCTTCCTGATGTCCCGATGAACACGTGGAAGTCCACATTTCCATTAAGCTTATTCCCAATGACCAATAACAGATGGTGTGTCGTCCAAAAAGGGAATGTGTGTGATGATGCGGGACTATGTAGGTAGGAAGATGTCAGTGTTGGTTCGAAAAGGTTGGGAATGACTGACCTTGACAGAAAAGACAAGCGACATCAGCGTCCGGTCGTCATTTGGGCGAAGAAAAAGGACTCGGCAGAAGCTAAGCCGACAACAGAAACAAAAGCAGTGATCTTTGTTGGCCGACACTTGATGCTGTCAAAGCAGTCATGGTAAAGCTCTTGCCTTTGCCAACCACGGACCGTGCACTCAGAACGCCGGCTCGCCTGTATCCAGGTCGTAACCCGAGTTGGAGATTTGTCGCATCTTGGTGTGGTTCATCATAACACGGTTGAAGTCATCCGGGCGGTCGGAAAACACTTGGAAAAATACTCTCTCGCAGTTCCAGGCTTCTCGAACACGGTCCGCCAGCACGTCAATGGAGCCACTGATTTGAGCACCCATAAACCCTCCCTCGGCGCTCGGGACGTACCACTCTTCGTTGTTGTGGTCGCCGGCGGTGGTGTTTGTGTAACGTGTGTGGAGTTGAGGAGCGGCGTCTAGGACGCGGGTGATGACACAGGACACGCCTGGTGGGATATTTCGTCGGTGTTCTCCTTCAGTGGCGGGGTGCTCGTAGGAGTTGCCACACTGCTGACAGCAGTTATCGGGATCATGTTGTTGGACGGGGTGGTCATGTGCACTGTCTCCAGGATTGGTCTCGACAGCAAGGGCTGAGGAGGTCTGGTTTGTCTCCATGCAAAAGACTTCCAGCTTACGCTTGGCCTCAGCCAAAGCTACCTCGAGGTCTTGCATCTTGCGGCGATCGGCCTCGTTGGCGGGAGTGTCGGGCGCGCGCTGACGACTGGTCCCAGCCTGCTGCTGGTTGATGAGACGGGAAGACATGTTGAAGGGGTCCAAGAGAAAATGAACAGTAAAAACGGTCGTTGTTGGGAGGCTTCGTGGCTTGCGATGGCGATGCGTGATGTTGTTTTGGGAAAGCCGCTGAAAAGAGTTTGATGTGCAACAGTGAAAGCCTTCTTGACCTTTCACATTTTTATGGGTCAATTTCGCTGAAACTTGCAGTGGCAGTGTCAATTTGCAGTGGCGGCGGCTTCAGGCTTCGATTCAGTGATCATGTAAGGTAGGCTCAGTGCATGGCAGAATGAAGCTTCCAGTGGGACGAACCTGTTTGCCTACCAAAAGGGAAACAAGTCAAAAAACCCTAAGCACCAAGAAAGATCAATGTCCCCGCTCATCATCAGATTATAGTAGTTGACCGCAACGGCAACACCAACAATAGCGAGGCATTGCCGATGATGAATCAAAACCAATATTTTAAATCGATGCCAGAACGGTGGATAAAGGTAAAGACATGAAGGGATTTGGCTCGGGAGTTAAATCGCCCCCTTGAGCCCGACAGGATAGGCCTCGGGCGGCAAGAAAACACTAAACCTTGATTTAGGGTATCAAAATAAACTAAGTAAAGAGTCTCCTAAGCTTAGGTTAAATTTACCTAAAGATTTTTATTACTTAGGGCTCAGGTCCAGAGTTTTCTTTCCTCCCCTAGATAGGGTCAATGAAGGGAGAGTGAATTAAAGCTTAACATTACGCCACATAGTAATTTTGGTGCAAGACATGAGTAACTTTAGCTCCATGAAAGCTTGCGTAGCGAACAATAAAGCTTGTTGCATTTAAACTTTCACACCTTCATACATCGAAATAAGTAATTAAGTATAAATATCCCGCGGCTCGTCTACACAAACCCATCATTAAAAATATCCACAAACAACACCAGCAAACGGAAAGCCCAAGCACATCTTCACACCTCGCCAATTTGCGTTTCATTTCACTCCTTGTTTTGCTACACAGTATCTGGCTTTGTGCAGCTATACCTATGAACCCTCAACCCGCCACATTGGCAACGAACACAGATGAGATACTGACCCCGCAAGATGTGGTCAGTGGACTTGAGGAGTTGTTGAGACACAAACCCACTGTCAAATGTAAGGACACCGATAACGGTCTCCGTGGAGGCAAACCTGAGCAGGGTAGGTTATCCAGGCGTGCGAAGAGAAACCTAAACTAATTTGTGATAGGGACTGATAAGCCGAAAACTCCTCTTGACAGGGGGAAATTCTATGAGTCTGGGAAGCCTCATCACAAGATCAACGGTACAGTGTCAAATGGGACCAACAATGATACAAAGCCCAATGGCCAGCCGGATGTCAAATCGAAAGTAGAACCCAAGGTCCAATCGGGCGAATCAAATCCTCAATCAAATAGCACCCATGTGAATAAGAAGCCTTTGGAATGGCATGACAAAAGATGCTTTGGGACATACCAATTTGGCAAACACAAAGATATCTACCCTATCTCACAGCAGAACTACTGAGGCTTTGCTTGTCCGGAGACGGAGTCAAAGATGATCAAGAAGAATGATAGCAGTACATTCATCTCGTACCAACGATGGATATACGGCGCGCCTTACCTATACAACGTCTACTGGAAGGATTTCTGTGAACTAGAGAACGGTAAGACTGAGCAGGATGTTACGGATCCATTGGAAGAGGGATGGGACCCTGGAGCACGTATCTGTCAAGAGAGCCTCACCAAAGCCTACAGGGGCTGCGACAATAAGGGAGCAGGAGGATCGTTGCAGGCAGGCTGTCTGGTGTATGAGTTTCAGGCAAGGGATAAGGATAAAAAGGCCGTTCTTTTGCCTTAGTTCCGCGAAGGGATTCCTGTTTAATTGGCTGGGGTTGTATGATATGTTTTATCCGTGATCAGCAACGTGGGGCTCTTGTGACTAGACAGCTTTGATGCAATTGACTGCGATTTGTTTCTTCTATAAACTGGCTATGTGGAGACAGTTCCTGATTAACTTAGACAACAAAATGAGGGGAAGCAAGAGCAATCCTCAAGCGTAGCCAATCAGCCAGGGTGTGACTGGCACCAAATCCATCAGAGCACCCCGCCTGTCACCTGACTTTTGCACCATAAACCTTTGGCTGGCGTTTAGCTTCGGTGAATGTACTTGTAGGCCTCTTCAATAAACATGTTCAGAGCAAAACTCCTCCGGCCATGTTTCCGTTTTCGGCACTCAGCCGTGAGGATTCCCAAGGTCTACCGCCTAAGCTATTCGACTACGTCAACTTCGAGCTCACCCCGCGCTTTTCCCCGTAGTGGCTTCGAGATAATTGACTCTTCTGTGTTAGTGGAAGAGGAAAGGCTGCCGTTCTACAGGCGCCAGGACTACTACCCAATCCGTATCGGCCAGGTGATCAAAGAGACTTATCAAATACTTGCAAAGCTAGGCTACGGTACTAGTTCAACTGTATGGCTATCTCGAGATCTTAGGTATGCACTGCGTCCTTGTAAGTCTCTCGCTGACGTCAAGCTAGAGATGGGACGTTCTGGGTGCTGAAGGTTCATACCAATACGCTTAAACAAAATCAGGAATTGGATGTCTATAAACACCTGTCTAAGCTAAGTCTAGACCATGCGGGTCGGGAGCATGTACGAGAAGTTCGGGACACATTCAAGCTGAGGGGTTCACATGGTGAGCATGAAGTCTTTGTTATGTCACCCTTGGGGATGAGTCTTCGGACCCTACAAGAATTGCAGAAAGATACTGTCTTCCAGCAAACTCTCGTTACATCTGCTCTCGACCAGACATTGCTTGGTCTCAATTATCTACACGATGCGGATGTGATTCATACCGGTAACTTGAACCCCCATCTGTCAAAGAGTCTTACTGACAGTGCAGACATTCACTCGGACAATCTTCTTGTTGCATTAACCGACGACTCGATCCTCTCTACTGTGGAAGACAATGAGTTTCACCGGCCCTCAGCACGAAAGTTTGTCGACGATACAGTCATTCACGTCTCACAGTATATGCTCGGAGGTGCTGGCGCCCTCACAATCTGCGATCTCGGACAGGCACGTATCGGCAAGGTGCATCGCGGTAATGCAATGCCGCTGCCATATCGTGCTCCCGAGGTCGTCCTCGGCATGACTTGGGGTAACTCGGTGGACGTTTGGAGCGTGGGGCTTTTGGTAAGAGACTCCCATCCCTTTCCACGCAGGACTGACCACCTTAGGCCTGGGACCTATTGCACAAGAACGGAATCTTCCGTGTGTACGACAAATCTGAAGAGCTCAATAACGCCCATCATTTAGCGGCAATAACCGCGCTGCTTGGACCACCGCCGGATGTTTTCCTCAGGAGGAGCGATAAGACGCGCAAGTATTGGGATGCTGAGGGGAAATGGAACGGCCCTGTTCCTCTTCCTTCTGTAGGTGAACTCAAGTCGCTGGACACAAACTTGTCTGGAGAGGATAGAGCTCGATTTCTAGACTTCTTGGCCGGCGTGCTTACCTGGCTCCCGGAAGATCGGCTTAATAGTGCCGAAGCATACTTTCACCCGTGGTTGAGAGAAGAAGGTGTCGTTAAATAATAATAGCGATGTCCCCTGCTCTTACATGTTGTACTATCTGTTGGCCCCCGCTTGACCACGTCCTCTCCCGACTTAAAACGGTTAATTTTTGCTCTGGACTGGAGTTCTTTTGCTATGATGTCGGTCATCTATGGCGCAGCATTAAAGAAACTAGTTACAATACACTAATCCTCAAAATGAAGAGCCGGTAGTCAATACAAGTCAAGTCTGTGGAATTGAGAAATGGGGCCGTATCTCTCGCCAATCCCCGCTCTGTAAAGACAAATGTCGGCCGCATTTCCGGCTGTTTTTAGCCTTTGTCTCTTGATATATAATTTTAAGAAATATACAAAAAGAGAAATATACTATCTAAAATTTTGAAATCAAGTTATAGGCAAAATTTATTTAGTCGATGTAATCATTCTGTTCAGGGACATATTAGTTCACACTAAACCTCCTTAGTGGGTCGTCTCCGGAGGGTTCTTTTTAATCTTATTAGTCAATAATGAGGCTTGTCCAAAGTCACACAATTCCCAATCGGAATCGTGACACATGTCGGCCGACTGGGTAAAAGTAAGGTACACTCTGTGCCCGTGTTGTCCCACTAGAATATGCTCTGTGGCAACTCTTGTTAGAGTAATTCCGTTAGGCAACTTGTATTAAAACCTTCCGGAGATGTGGAACGCGGTTCCGTGGCTCTTTCTACAGTGATTAGAAATCCATCTTGTTTCGCATCATTTATCGCCACAAACCCTGCTATGACCTGATACCCCAGCTGCAATATGTCCGTATTTAAACAGCTGGATTAACCTTCCTCAGTTGGCACCCCCAACCTTGATCTCACATCTCACATTACACATTCGTATATATATATTTGGCTTCGATCTTACAGATTCATTACTATTCTCGTCAACAAAATGGCCGAACTGAAACAAATCGCAATCGTTGGCGGTACAGGCGCTCAGGGTATGCCAGTCGTCGAAGGAAGGACCGATGATGGAGCTATAGTCTCATTGTGCTAATCAGCCACAGCTTTGGCTTCCAGTGGCCGATATCGTCTTAGAGTGTTGACCCGCAATCTTGAGTCTTCCCGCGCAAAGCAGCTCGCTGAGCTCCCGAACGTGACCTTGGTCCAGGGCGCCCAGGATAATATGGCCGACATGCACAAGCTCTTCAACGGCGCCCACGGGGCTTGGGTCAATACCGATGGTTTCACCCTGGGAGAAAAGGATGAGCTTTTCTACGGCTTTAGGGCTTACGAGATCGCAAGGTCCGAAGGTCTGCAGCACTACGTTTGGGCCAACATCGAATACGTTTTGGCTGCCGGAAAGTTTGACGAGAGGTATTATTGCGGCCATATGGCATCCAAGGGGAGAGTTGCCAAGTTCATCCTCGCGTTGGGGCAGGATGACATGAAGAGCACCATTTTCACCACTGCGGCCTATATGGACATGCTCCACGGCGGAATGTTTGTTCCCAGTGAGCAGCCGGATGGGTCAATGTTGTGGGCCAATCCATCGCGTGAGTATCTACTTCCAACTCGACCTCTTGCAGACGTTCCGACTTTGTACTGTTTTTCTTTTCTTTTCTTGCCGCCTAACTCTAACCTGGCTGACCGTTATTGAAGCGACTGATACAAAGATCCCAATGATCGCCCTCTGTGACGTGGGCATCTACAATTTGTGGATCTTTGACAACCCAACCGAGTCGGCAGGCCTTGATGTCTCAGTTGCAACAGATAATGTCAGCTTTGCCGATATTGCTAGAATCTTTACCGAGGTGACAGGCACTCCTGCGGTACATAAGACCCTCACATGGGAGGAATACGCGCCTCACGCAGAGCCCTATCCGGGTGCATCGGTCAACTGGGCTCTTGGTCCTGATGCTCCTCGAGACAAATCGGTCATGAGTTGGGCCGACAACTTTAAGGCTTGGTGGCGGTACTGGGGAGATGGGGTCACTCCCCCGCGGGATGAAGCATTACTGGACCGTATCCACCCCAAGCGCTTGAAGTCCCTAGCAGACTGGATGAAGCATGTTGGATATACTGGAAAAAGGCAGAATGTTCTGAAGATGACTGAAGACTGGGCTACCAAGGGTGGAGCACTGCCTCCCAAGTAATGAAGAGAGAGTTTTATAAAATAGATAAGACTCCTTGAGTGGTAAATGGATATGAAGCAGGCAAACAAAGTTCAAGATGAGGAGATGAAGGTTTTGGAACATGCAAAAGAATCCAAGACGATGAGTAAAAAGGTTTAAAGCAGCCAGACGAACACCGGGATGAGTAAATGCAAAACGTGGGGCAGGCATTCGAGCACTAGATCGAGACCTTGAAAAAACTGAAGAAGTCATACTACAAGCCTTTTCGACTCTTGCTTAGTGGAATGAATCCCGTTCAGCTTGCTAGAGTGCTAGTAGGCCTGACACTAATTGTGTCTCTAAAATCTTTTCTGCTTTTACGTGCTGTACGGTCTGTCTCTCCCGGGCTTGGCGAATTCCTGCCCCGGCTTGAAGAATTACAATGCCGCCATGGGACTGAAGGCGATGTTCCGGATAATCTCGGTCAAAATTGGGCGGCTCGTACCCGCACAGCCGGCTGTGCG